TAAATGAGAGGCTGATTTTTGAAAAGAAGATGAACAGAAAAAAGTCCCATGACTCAAGCAAATTTGATATGGAGTCACGGTGAAATAAGAGTCATCTCCACAGTACTGTTTTTACTATCAGATTTCAGAGTAGTATTACATACGAAGCTAAGGATGGACAAATCAGTTTTGCCCATTACTAATTATAGTTCAGCAAGGTTTTAAGAAAATTTGAGGCGGGAAACAGAACACAGGACAAGATTATATAAACACATTCTTCTAACAGGCTGAGCAAACTATTTCAGAGAATAGTATCACATCTTTTCAGTTGTGAAACAAGCTTATAAAGTAAAACTGAAGAGAATCCTTGGTCCTTCAGCGTTATCATTATTAGACTATCATTTGACCATTTGTCTGTAACAATGCCTCACCTCTGATTGTGAAGACCAATAAAAGGCTCTCCCCTGAGCTGAGAGCAGGAGGTAATAACGCAAGAATTTGGCAGGCATCCTCTCTAGGAGACTATGTATCAATCATGTCATTGACACACGCAGCCCCAGGGAATGAATCCCCACAGTTTCCTGGGTTACCAAAGGCAATGGTGGGTCTTGCTGAAACAGAGAGAAGGGCACTGACCTTTAAATCTAATTAACTACCTATTTCCTGCTATACTCCAGTCTGTACATATGGCACTACTACCCTTATCTGAGAGCCAAGTGTGTTTTATTAAAATACAATATAGCAGGTAATGTAAAATGGCATGGAAAGGAAAACATCTTTGTAGTTAATTTCTCCCTGCTCTGTATTGTCCTTGTCATTCAAGCCTTCATTTTAATAAGTTAGTAGAAGAGACTGAGATTCTGTTGCCAGTATTGCCACTTACTGTGTAACCTTGGACATGTCACTGTCACCTGCAAAGGAAAAACAATAAAAATGAGCTTTGCATTTTGTTTCTGCTTTAGGATGTGTCAAGAGTTTCCATTTCTTTCAAAAGACAAAAAATACCCACTATGTTTTCTATGTATGTTTTACGACAGATGGCAGAAAAGAAGTGGAGATTCAAGAGCTTGGAATTTCCAGAAGACGCTGGACTGCCGAGAATGGCCATGGAAAATTGCAATCACTACAAAGTGAGATGACTTATCTTAACCTGACTGCTCTGGTTAAGCAAGTTCAATAAAACCTCCTGTGTCTGCCTCTAGATAGAATCAGTTGTTCAAATGTAAGGCTGAAAAGTAATTTTGGTTTGCTTACTCTGTTCCTGTCATATCAATCAGTCTAATCAGTTCATTAGCAATGTGATGACTTGCTTAGGTCTCTAGTCCCTGGAGGGCGTGCAAGATTAGTAAATACTTTATTTGGGAAAAGAAGAGGCAACTAAATGGTCCTACGAATTAATTTTCTCCTGTCGTCATAGGTGAGAAATATGGGTTATCAAATACCCATCCAATTCTTTCCTTTCCTCACAGATGCTGAAGTAAAGTCATAAGCTTTTGAGTAATGATGCCATCTGTGGCACTTGTTCACTCAGAAAGCTGTGATCTCTGCCTCCTGGTTGATATAAAAGCAAGAGGGGAAGGGGTTTTCCTTGAGGTTGCTGCCATCTTAGAGGGTATGTTCAAGGCCCATTGCAAATTTAAATTAGACTATCCTTAAAGATAAGAAATCACTTATCAGCCAGCCCTGGTGCCTGATGAGCAGCCACACACTCCAATCTTACTGGATCTGCAGTTCCAAGAATAACCTTCATGCCATATGGTAAGAAGCAGATTGTATCATCTTCCTGCAAAAAAATCCAGTTTAATTTTTGTTTAAAAATATGTCCAAACCACTCCCCACCCTGCACAAGTCTGTTGACTCCCAACCAGTTACCCCTTCACCTCCCTACTATGGGTCAAGCATCGAAGAATTGCTAAAATGTTTTAGATCTATTATGTTCAATTCATGCTGGCAAGGCAAAATTATGAACTCTCTGAATGCTTGTATAGAATGCCTAGAGGAAAAGGCACTACTACAGGTTGAACCTCTCCAGTCTGGCACTCTCTGATCCAGCAACATCCGTGGTCCAGCACAATTTTATTTAGTAGAATGTCCACTTATCATGGGGGTGGCCAACTTTTCCACGGTTCCATAAAGTTTGTTTACAGCTACTAGTCCTGGCTCTCAGTCTTCTGTGCTGCTATTTAACTCATTTACCCCAAAATGTCTTCTAAGAGCCCAATAAGCAGTGAAAGTGTTGGCAATGCTGCTGAACAATATTGATCTCCCATAATTTGGCAAATTCTCTGGTGGCACTGGTCAGGTCCTGAGGGTGCCAGACTAGAGAGGTTCAGCCTATACAAAACTCTAAATCAGCTTCCTTTCTTGAGAAAAGGCAGTAGAGGTGAATCAGGCTGTCACACTTCAAAGAGAGTGGCTCATATCCCATTCTTGGAAAAACTCCTATCTGTATAATAAATTAAAATTTTACTGTAAAATATAGAGATAATACGAAAAAGTCAGTACTCAAAATATACCTTTAACATAATTAAGTGACAGCAATCAAGAACTTTTTCACTAAGGATAACATATTAAATGTTAACACTTTTTCCTATTAGAACATGCTGAAACAAAAATTGGAGATGGAGTAAACTATGGATCACTATCAGAAATACAACTACCCCTGGCTTTTAAATAGAAATCTTGGGATCTGATTTGTAAATGCTATGCCATTAGCTGCCTGTTACTGAAATCTGCTGTCAAAGTCTTTCCTCCAAAGAGTATCTTTAGTAAAAACTCAGACTCAAATGAATCTTATTATTTCAAAGTAATTTTACCACTTGTAATTGATGTTCAAGCCACTGTGCTAAAATTTCAGGCATGCATACATGGTTCTTGGAGTACATCTCATCACTCAACATTATGTTGAGATAAGTATCTATTAAGCAGATGCTATAAGCAAGACTTGATTTCACAAAGTGCAGTTCAAAAGTGTCTTTTGGTAATAGCCACTTGAATGACTCATTAGAAACAACTGAAGTACTTTGAATATACAATGGTGTAAATAAAAACTTGGTTCTGTATGGGTAGGAAACCAAGGTAAAGAGGGAGAATTCACAAAACACAATGTAATTTATTACACAACACAAGAAATTGTAGCATGTGATTCTATATTTATTAATTTAATGTGAATAGATCCTAAAACAAATGTATCCAATTATTATCAGTCAATTTATAGTTGGTTATAACACTAACATTTATTGTACACAATATTAATTACAAATTCAAAGGATACACTTAAAATGATACTAATAGGTAACTTAAATTGACAAAATCTCCACTGGATTTTCATCCTTAAGGCTCTTCTACAGTCATCTGCTGCCGTAGTCTAGGTTTATTGGGATTATGTTCTATCAACCAATCAGCAAACCAAACCTACAGGATGAAAAGAACAACTACATAAAGAAAACAGTAAAAACCATTTAAGTCCCATAAAACCTGTCTGTTCTTATTATAGACTTTATTTTGGTACAGACACTACTAGAACAGATCCTTTGTTTGAGACACTGTTCAAATATTCAGAACTGTACACTCGGTTTATAGTAGGGATGTGCACATATAACCTTGTTAATGGTTAACCAATAAGCCAGGACTTACTGGTTAACGTTTATGGTTACACGCAGGCTCCCGCCCCACTCCTGGAGAGCGGGCTGCCAGGCCACACTGTTGTCTCTGTACCAGAGGCAGCAGCACAGGAGCAGCAGCCAGCTCCCTAGGAGCCGGGCTGAGGAAGCAGTGTGGGGTGGCAGGCAGGAGCTGAATTTTAGACTTTTCATGTCAGGGACCATGTCTATACAGTACGGCTGTGTCTACACTGGGCCACTTATTCCGGAAAATCAGCCGCTTTTCCGGAATAAGCTGCAAGCTGTCTACACTGGCCCTTGAATTTCCGGAAAAGCAACGATGCTCTACTGTACAAAATCAGCCGCTATTCCGGAAAAACTATTCTGCTCCCGCTCAGGCATAAGTCCTTATTCCGGAACACTGTTCCGGAAAAGGGCCAGTGTAGACAGCCCAGTAGTCTTTTCCGGAAAAAAGCCCTGATCGCGAAAATGGCAATCGGGGCTCTTTTCCGGAAAAGCAGCCCGCCAATGTAGATGCTCCTTTTCCGGAAAAACTGAAAATGGAATAGTATTCCGTTTTAAGCAGTTCCGGAAATTCATGCCAGTGTAGACACAGCCCACAAGTGTCTGTACGAGGGCTTTTTAGCCTTACCTTGGTACAAAGAATAAGTATGAGAATTCTAATTTAAAAATAAAATATGCATTCAAATACTTACAGAAAAATATTAATTACGTCAGTTCTGACAACACTGCCAGCTACTTCAACAGTTGAACCCCCTCATACAAAGACAGTGTTACAACTTTCTACACTGCAATCATATGTGAGTACCTTATAGTACCCCTTTGCAGCAATGGTGAGCATACATGCATGTAGCCCATCAGGGTTTTATGTATGACACGCAAGACATTTTGTTTAACTGTTGCCCATGTGCAGATTTGTCAGATTCTGCTGGTATTTCTTGACATAGTTTTTTTTCCTTCTGGTATTACTAGGTACACAAGTGCAGTTAGCAAAACTACCTTATTGCAAGACACCATTTTGGTTACAACAGTCTCGCAGCCCACTGAGATGGAGAGCCACTCTCATGCAGCCCTAAGTTGCCCTTTGCTGCCTTACAGTCAAGAAATGGAGCCCTGGAGAAGTCTAGCAAAATGCAGGACAATGTAGCACTTTAAAGACTAACAAGATGGTTTATTAGATGATGAGCTTTCGTGGGCCAGACCCACTTCCTCAGATCTAGAAATGTGATCTGGTACTTTTTGAAAAATCAGCATATAATGTAAATTTTCTAGCAAACTGTAATGGCGTCTAAGCACAAATGTG